TCGTCCATGTCATCCTCCACGTCATCGTCCACGTCATCGTCCACGTCATCGTACAGCTCATCGTCGTCCTCAGCCAGATCCACCACTCCTTGTTCTTCGTCGCTTCCACATCCACGGTTGCTCGCATTGCTCCTCTCCTGCGACTTCGGAGTAGCCTTGAACATTGAAACCTTATCGGAGTTGCCACCTCTTCCGATACCGTTCTTATAAGGTCGGCTCTGTGCGCGTCCTCCTCCGGCCACATCTCCGCTGCTACCGCCGCGTGACTGTATGAGATCGCTGCCCAGTGATTTCCTATCCATCTGTTTCTTGCCTGCGTGGCTCAAAGCCCGAGCGGACAATGGTTTCGTGACGGTTAGCAGCGAGTGGATGTCGACGCACTTCTTCTTCCTCGCGCCGTTTGTAACGTTCGCGAACGCGATGTTGCTCGCGTGCTGTCGCTTGTTACCAGTCACCGCCATTTCCCGGCTTCGTTCACGTCGATCCGACAGGCGTCAAGAGCAGTACAACTTGAAGCGGCAGACCAACATTGAGCTAAAAACGGATTGCTCGAAGGCGAGACGTAAATGCCTGAGCTTTTCGCACTTTGCTGTTCACCCGACCAGGAGACGAGGCTGAAGGAAAAGCATGCGTCAGTTAAGGCAGCACGCACCACACAAGCACCCGTTTCTCCAACCACCTCGAAGCTCGTCTGCTACCAGGAGCACAAGAAGAGACGGACTGGGAAATGGCAAGCTCAAGGCTCTCTCGATGGAAATTCGTAGCCAGACCAGCTTGGGCCCAACCCACCCCCTTGATGTTGCCGCCGCGACCCTGATTCTGCCAGCCAGCTTCAGTGACTGAAGAGCGCACTGGACAAGAGAGTGTGGCGGGGAGGAAGGGGAGTCGTGCATGGCTCTGGCAAGATGGGCGGGCCACCCGCGCGTCAATTTCAATGTAGGGGCGATTCGATGTGGTTGCGGTGGCGTGCCAATTTCACTCGGTGCTTGCGCCAAAATTCTACAGAACAACGGATTTGTTTTGCATCACTGAACGGGTAACTCGTAAAAAGGCGATTGATTATTCAATTCTGCACTCATGTTGAAGTATTCTTATAGTCGAGTCCACTCACGACGAGTATGAAGGCAACACCAAGAAACTGCTTGGCTGGCTTGGTCTATCCACGTGGCGGCTACTGACACTACTTCAGGCCCGTTCCCTCATCCATGACATGGCATCCAGGGATTCGGGCTCCAGTGAAGTTGGTGAGGATAGCGGCTCCGTCACGATTGCGATAGTATAGCCACGAGGGAACAGCTTATAGCGCATATCCCGCTGTCATCGCCGCCCGGGTTGAGTGTGAGACTTGACAGGAGGGAAATCAGAGGCTGAGAAAATCACAAGGCAAGAGGCAAAACAAGGTCAGCATAATCCCACCTTACTGCATCAAATATAAACCGTACGGAGAACCTCCCCACCGTACCTAAAAGCACCACCTCACAGAGGACGACCCTGCTTTCTGCCTCTATCTCAGCATTGATGCTCATTTCTCCGCCTCTCTCCCCTTCGTTCGCCCAGCGAACTTCGTCTGGCTGCTGCTGGAAAGCCTATCTTAGCCGTGTTAGCCTTACTATAGTCTGGTGGTCTGTAGAGCGTCGACAGGCTAAGAGGTTTCCGTCGACCGACGATTCTTTTTTCCAATTTCCTGTTTGGAAGGGCAGTTGCCAGGCATGGAGTCGCTCCTCCTAAAGGGAAGCACATCGCGATCGATCCCAAGCTTTCAAGGCCTTCGTGCCGCGCAAACACCCTTCCGCCAGACCCTTCCTGCCACGTCGTTGCCAGCTCAGCAATGGCGCAGCGCCTCGAGCAAAACCTTAGTCCGGGCAGCAGCAGCGGAGCAGGCTGATGCTACTCCCAGCAGGACCCCCAGCGGAAGCATCTTCGGCCGGGAGGTCGAGCTCACCGGCGTTCCCGGCGTCGTTAAGAGCCTGCCGACGCCGGTTAGATATGCCGTCTGCGGCGCAATTATCGTCGGTTCTGCCGGTGTGGGGTTCGCGGCCGGCAGCAAGTTCCAGCCGCCTGTGGGGCAGGTGGCTGGTGTCGTAGTGCTCGGCGCGCTTGGCGCGGGAGCCGCGCACGTGGTGAACTCCGCTAGTAAGAAGTCGCTGCAGCGGATTTGCACAACTCGCTTGTGCGCTTATCGGATCCACTTCAACTGAGACGAGGCGAAGCCGCGGAGATCGCGAACAAGTGAGCTGCGAGTCGGAACTTTCTTGCGTTTTAAGTCGATCCCCTTTCTTCACATACCTCTTATTGCACGTCGATTCGTTAAGGCACGCGAATACTGTCGGACTTTTTCGTTTTTTGTTTTTTTCGTTTTGTTGAAATCCGCTATACCTGTGCTGCTTCATCTGAAAGAAGGCATTTCGTGATATGGGTTTTCTTGGTGATGTTTGCAGGTATGGCGTGAGCTTGGAGGACGAGAGGTACCGAGCAGAAAATGAAGGACCTCTACGAGAAGTGAGCGTGCTGCTTCCCCCCTTTTTCCAACCCCGCCTCTTCCTCTCCCCCCCCCCCACCCCCCATCCCCCCCACCCCACACACACACCGTGGCTTACTCTCACTTTTATCTGCAAGACCGAGGCTTCAGAAGCCCATGCATCGGAAAGTGTCATGCTTTTTGTAAAGCGTTATCAGCTTCACACCCTAGCGCAAAATAGCATGGTTCGATATCTACGTGCGCTGTCCGCACCGTCGTCGTGTTTCGTTTTGCTATTGCCACACAGGAATCATCGGTAGGTTATCCTCGACGTTCTTGTTTTCTCGTCGTTTGTCTCTCACGCCGTCTTCCCCCCACTCCCCCCTCCCCTCCTCCCCATTTCCTACCCCGTCAGGTTCGTGTCGTCCGTGATTCCGCCCGGCGACGAGCCTCTGAGGGGCGACGACTCGGGCCCGATCTCGCTTCAATGCGTCGCTGGGCCAGCTGCTAACCCTCCCTCCCCCCCCCTCCCCCCCCCCCCCCCCTCCGCGCCACCCGTCCGTCCGTCCCTCCCCCCCCCCCCCCCGTCAGGTTCGTGTCGTCTGTGATCCCCCCCTGGCAACGAGCCGTTGAGGGGCGACGAGTCGGACCTGATTATCCGCTTTAAGGCGTCGATGGGTCTTGAGGACGAGGACGCCGCTGCTGCTCATATCGAGGTATGGGGCTCTTTACATCGCGGATTTGCACTTTTCGGACCGAGATATGGGATTGTTTATAACGGGGAAGAGTCTATCTCGATCAAGCAGCATTGTCCGCATTAACTGTACGATACGGTTTACGCCGACCAACGAAAAATTGCGTCATTTCGCACTCGTGTGCGTACGCCCCCTGTGCGCGTGTGTAAGCGTCTCTGTGCGTGTGCGCATGTTATCTCGTCGCGTGCTTGCGAACCCTGTGTGCAGGTGGGGCGGCGTATCTTCCGGCAAAGGCTGGAGACGGGCGACAAGGAGGCCGCATTCGAGGAGCGACAGGTAGGAAAAGGATTACTAATGTGAACAGAAGGGAGGGAGAGGTAGGCGAAGGATTTGCGTGCGGGCGAGGTAGTGAACGGTGGGCGACGATTGATAGGTGGGATGATGAGCGAGCGACAGATTTGTGGAGAAGCTTGTAAGGCTAAACGCGATGGGCTGGTTGCGATGGGTGAGTTGCTTTCTAGGCTGGAAGCTGGCATTTCGAAAGGAAGAAGTAGCCTTTTAAGGAATAAATAGCTTTTGAAGGGGTTGAAAAGTCCAAGGGCCATGTCAGGGGATAGGGCTTAAGCGCCACCTTTTTGTCACATTTTCTCCTCCGCTTGACCCGCATTTTTTCCTTGTCGTCCTCTCTGCCCGTTTCCTTCCCTTTCTCCCCCACCCGCCCTGCTCTCCTTCCTCCCTGCAACTGCACGCGTTCCAGAAGCTGCTGTACATGTCAAACCTCGAACCTGGTGTTTGGCGACAAGTCCAAGTTCCTGCTCCGCTCCTACCCATGCTTCCCCCTCTCCCCTCCTACCCCACACACCCCCCCCCCCCCCCCGCCCCCCGCTTTCCTCTCCCCCACCTCCCCCCTCCCCCGTTCCTGGCTCCAGTCGTTCCAGAAGCTGGTGTACGTGTCGAACCTGGTGTTCGGCGACGAGTCCATTTCCCCCAACGCTGCTACGCCGTGCTCCCCCTGGTGCTTCTCCCCCCCCCCCTCCCCCCCTTCTCCCGCACTCCAGTCGTTCCAGAAGCTGGTGTACGTGTCGAACCTGGTGTTCGGCGACAAGTCCAAGTTCCTGCTGCCGTGGAAGCGCATCTTCAAGGTCAGCGACGCGCAGGTCGACATCGCCGTGCGCAACAACTCGCAGTCGCTGCTGCAGGCGCAGCTCGACGCCACCAAGGGAGGTGAGTGCAATCGCTTCCCCCCCCCCACCCTTTTTGCACCTTTTCCCCCCCCCTTTTCGCCACCAAAGAAGGTCAGATCCCTTGCCTCCCCTCCTCTCGCCTCTCCCCCCCCCCCCCCTCTCCCCCCCTTCCCCCACCCCACCCCACCCTGCCGCTCCCTCTAAATTGCTGCCCCTCCTCTCTTGCCTCCTGGGATCCCGCTTCATGTCGTGCCGTGCTACCGCTGGCTGCGTTTCGCCCGTTAGGAGTCTATTTTTGAGGCGCCTCAAACATAGACTGCTACCGCTGGCTGCATTTCGCCCGTTAGGAGTCTATTTTTGAGGCGCCTCAAACATAGACTGCTACCGCTGGCTGCGTTTCGCCCGTTTTTTTAGTCGACTCAAAAGTCCGCTTCATGTCATGCCGTGCTACCGCTGGCTGCGTTTCGCCCCTCTCCGCCAATCAGAGTTCACGTTGTCTGTGTTGCTGCCCCTGTGCTGCTGCCCCTGTGTTGCTGCCCCTGTGCTGCTGCCCCTGTGCTGCTGCCCCTGTGCTGCTGCCCCTGTGCTGCTGCCCCTGCCCCTGTGTCACCGTCCCTCTCCGCCAATCAGAGTTCACCGTGGACAACCTCAAGGAGCTCAGGGCGCTGCAGAAGAAGTACAAGCTCTCAGACGATGTGAGTCACTCGTTATAAGCTCTCAGACGATGTGATCCACTCGTTATAAGCTCTCAGACGATGTGAGTCTCTCGTTATAGGCTCTCAGACGATGTGAGCCACTCGTTATACGCTCTGAGAGGATGTGAGTCACTCGTTATAAGCTCTCAGATGACGTGAGTGCCTCGTTATAGTGCAGAATCCTGATGTGAACTGATTATAGTACAAGCTCCTACATCGTGTGAATAAACTGCAATTGAGCCTAGGGCCTTGAACGCACTGCATCAATCTATTCAGGAGTTAACATGTGACTTATATCAGGAGTGTTTGGCGAACCTGGCCACTTGAACCCACACTCCTGGTACACACCCTTCCCTTCTCGCTCTCCGAACCTCTCAGCTTGCTGCGGACATGGTTCGGGCGGAGGCTCGGAAGCGAGTGGAGGAGTACATCAACCAGGCTCTGGACGTGCTCAAGGCGCGCACGCGCATCAAGTGAGCAGGGCGGGGAACGGGGGAGGGGAACGGGGGAGAGGAACGGGGGAGGGGAATGGGGGAGGGGAACGGGGGAGGGGAACGGGGGAGGGGAATGGGGGGGGGAACGGGGGAGGGGAACGGGGGAGGGGAACGGGGGAGGGGAACGGGCGAGGGGGAATGGGCGAGGGGGAATGGGCGAGGGGGAATGGGCGAGGGGGAATGGGCGAGGGTATTGGGTGAGGGGCGTAAGGGAGGGGA